TCCGATAATGAATATGTCATGCACTGGGTATAACACAAGAGAGAAGTTAAATTCTATCGTTATTATTGAATTTGACATAATCTCATTGATATAAACAACTTGTCTATAGATTTTTATATTCCAGCCTTCTTGTTCTATTTTTGTCCTTGAACGCAATATGTTCTTCATGCATATCTGTTTGTGTTTCATAAGGCTTCAAAATGTAAACTATCATAATAGTATTGCCATGCTAATGCATCATTCAATAGCCCCTTCCTATTTCTCTTTCTTTTTTTTTCTTCTATTTAATCTTAAATCTATTAGCATGTTTTTCTTTATCGGCCTCCTTTGTTGCTCTCAAGATTAATTTTGCTCTCAAAATTGAAAGCAATTTAGTTTCAGTGTACAAAATTAGTCTGAAAATATCTTAACAGTAAATCTTTTGAAATAAAATTTTAAGACTTAATATCACACTTATATGCATTGATTAAGCATCTGATAAGAAATATGTTTTTGTTAAAAATTGAATGGATCACATGATCCGGGAAGCAGAGTCAAATTCTCCCGTATAAATATATGTTTGAAACTCTGGTTTAGAAATATGTTCAGACTTAAAACAGAAGAGATTATTGGTTTTAGATTGAAAGATCTTTTAGCTGCTGTGGATCGACTTCAGATGGTGCTCGGGTGAGAGCACACTGCACGATAGTTGTCTTCAAGAAAGCTATGACATTTCTATGGAACTAGCTCCTGCTAACAATATAACCAATATATCCAATCCATATGCAGTGTCCCCTGCATTTCAAAAGCATTGCCAGCAAATTTTTTCTTCTAAATTCAGTAGCTGTCTTCACATAATAGCTACAATATGATCAACATTTGATACCTACACCGAACTTAGAGCAAAGAAGGATGTCTTCATGTGAAAAATATATAAATTGTAGACATACAAGAGTTGTAGATCCAGTGTAAAAATATAGAAAATAGAAATTCAAATGGAATAGAAATAAGAAAAAAATTAAGAAAGAGAATAATATGCTGAGCAGATTTGTGATTCCAACATAGCACCAAATTCAATATAGGAGTGTAATCGCCAGATTTGTGATTAAATACGTATATACATTTCAATACAACGGCACTTTTGTACATGCATCATCTTTTTAATGAGTAATTTATTTTTATTTTCCCTATCATGTCATTCTTACAAATTTTTTGTTAAATAAGAATAAATTAACTATATTATACTTTTAAAGTTGATCTATATATAGGTCTACTACTTACCTTCTCGACAACCTATATGTTCTATTTTTATTTGGATTCATACAGTCATTTAGTATCATACATACGTTTAAATTGTACATAAGAAAATACTGGATTATAATTTTTACGTAATTTAATTCTTGTGCATGCTAATTATTCCATAAATTTACCCGAAGAACAAAAACTCATGCTTGTGTAATCTAATATCTATCTCTAACCTGAAAGCTTTTGATATTGAAAAATTCTAGTATGCTTACCTCAAGCTCTAAACTTTCCTCAATCTCTCGAGGTATGGTGTACAATAAATATGAGATAATAGGTCATTGTATATATATATACACACACACACATATATATATATAATAGAGGCTAAACTCTTGTATATATGTGTTCTATATTTTGTATGGTGAATATAAATGAGTAAATATTTTGATAATAATTGTTTACATATTAAAATAATAGATATTACGATATGTTATATAGGTAGCAGTTGATAGTGTCACAACGCATGACAAAAAAAAAAGCGCTGTAGAATGTTTGAGATATATACATATATATATATATAATCAAGCGCAAATGGTTTTAAGGAAAAAAACTTATATTAAGAACTAGATGCAGTATCACTGAACGATTACAAAATACTTAAACAAATAACATAAAATAAGATGCCTCTTATTTTCTAGAACAAACCCTTACTCGTTAGAAGCTAAAATCCTAAAA